GGAAAAGAAAAAATATGAGAAAAGGAAAAAATGGAAACAAAGTCTTTGTAAATAGCGAAAGGTGGAGGGGGTGAAGGGAGGGCAGGGGATGGGGAAAAGATAAGAACCGAGATAGATCATGTAAAGGTATAAGATCCCAATGATGAATGTAAGTGTAATGCATACTTACAAAGTTCTAATAAACTTAATGAAAAAAAAAGAAAAAAAATTTCGAGTTCCAAATGTTCATCACTAGTACATAAAAACACAGCTGAATTATGATGTTGATCTTATAGTCTGAAGCCTTGTTAAACTTGTTTCTTAGTTCCAGAAGCTCTTTAATGTAGACATTGTTGCATATTTTCTATGTAGACAATTATGAAGTCTAAGAATAATGACTGTTTTAAATATCTCGTCTGATTCAAATTGTTTTCTTTGTATTATCACACTACCAGGACTTGTAGTGCAACTTTGAAGAGTAGCGAGAACAGGACATCTTTGACCTGTTCCCAGTCTTAGTTGCATCTGTCATGTCTGATGTTAATGTAGTTTGTTTTTTCTGGATGTTGGTTACTTTGTTATCTGTCTTGGTCACAGAAGCCAAAAGTTTATCAAATGCATTGATCTCAAATACATAGGTGTTGGTAATGCTGAAAAAAATTAAGAAAAAAATTAAAAAGGGGCTGAGGATATAGCTCAGTGTGAAGGCCCTGGGTTCACTCCCAGTGCAAAAGGGTGGGGAGGATCATTAAGGTTTTCGAGATTATAAACAACTTGAGGTTGAAAGAATCAAAATGATCAAAAAGGATAACCTTGCTCTCTGTTGATTTTGAGTAGCATTTTTAATGTTACACTGAGTTCTTTTCCAGATCTCTGTGTTCTGAGAATAGAGCATGACTTGTTTCTACATGCCGCTATGTGGCCTCACCTGCCCTGGTGATGGCCCCAAAGGGCCCCAGGCAAGCATTGCCTTCTAGGAGCAGTGACATTGGACAAGGGCTTTTAAAAATGGGTCCAAGAAATCCTAACCTTGATCCTTTCTTTCCTGGACAGGCTCGCAGGGACTAAGCCATGCTTTTGCACTGGGTAATGAACGTTGAAATGGTCATGCTTTTCAACCAAGCCCCTGCTCCCCCCTTGTGTGCTATTTCATTTTCAAAAGGGAGAGATAGTCTAGAGTTATAAATCTCTTCCCTTTCTTTGCCCCCTTGCAGTGGCTGCCCTCCGGTGGGGACTACCTCTCCGAAGTCATATTCACACTGGGTTGGGAGAGGTCAGCCCTGGCACACATTCCCCGGTGGGTAGTCAAACATGGAAGCTCACGCAGGCTTCGGTCCCAAGGTGCTTTAGGGCAGCCCTCTGGAAAGTAATTGTCCAGCGTCTTTGTCTGCTTCAGGGCTGCCCATGACAGGCTCTGCTCATGACAGATTGCTGTCCAGACCCTGACCCTGCTGTATCTCCGATCGGCCTGCCCTCCAGTCCCAGCACAGAGCCACTTGACATCCCTCCAGAAAATAAACTCTTTTTACCCTTAGAGGCAAAGAAAAAGGAAAGTGACTGTTGGCGGTAGAGGGTGCCTTCAGGAGGAGTGCTGAGGGCAGAAGAAAATGCTGAGCTATTCAAGCGTGGCCAGCCTGGCTCATGTCACTGGTGCTGTTGTTTTCTCTGCATACTACTTAGATTCCATTCCACTCCACCTCCTTTTCCAATCTCCTCCCCAGGCCACTGACTCTTTGTATTATCTTTATTTTCCTTCAGATTTTTTCTTCTTTCTGATTGCTTTAGTTTTGACTTCATTTCTTTGTTTTCCTTCCTTTATCATTCATCTATATGCAAGACCTTATGTTAATCTCATAGTGGATAAAAACACAAGCAAAGCCCAACACTCCATTGCTCCATTCCTGCATTTTACACAGTATAACACTTATTCCAATCAGGAACTGTATTTGATAACATGAGATAGGTCTCTACGTCTAAAGAGCTAACAGGAATCTGGCAGCACTTGAAATTCTACGAAGATCTGTCAAGTGAATGACAGAAAATGAGCTTTCACAAAGGATAGGATATAATTTCCCATTAGCTTACCCTGTTCTCTAGAAGTTGATTTTTCAACCTTGACACTATAGACAGGGCCAGATAATTTTTTGTCCTTGGATCTAGGCAACCTCCCTGACCTCCACCAAGTGGCATCGCAATCTCTCCTTCAGTTGCAAACCCAAAAATGTCTCCTGGGAAGAAGAACCATCCCCAGTTAAGAACCACTGTTCTGTATAAATTCTGTCCAGTAGAACTTTCTAAAATGATCTTTGCCATCTAATATGACAGCCACTGAAAAGAAGCACTTGAAATATGGCCAGTTTGAATTCTGATGTCAAGGTAAGACACCCACCAGATTTGATGATACAAAAATGTAAAATCAATGTGATGATACAATCACATTGATAGTTGTTAAATTGATTCCATGTTGAAATGATGATAATTTGTATATGTTGAGTTGTATATGAAATAAAATATTTAAATTTTATGTATTTCCTCTTGTTCTTTGACTATTAGAAATTTATAATGACACGACATGGCTTGCTTTTATAACTCATATTTCTGCTGAAAAGCGTTGCTCTGTATAGTCATTGATTGGGCTTTTGTTTTCAGTTCCCAGTTTATTTTCTTATTTACATTCTTCTCACTCCTTCAAAATGCTGTTGTTGCTATTTCCTGTACTAAGTTCTTTTTTGTGCAATTCCTTGTCTAGTTTCTTATCTTTGTAATCTTAAATCTGTCCTTCTCCAACTACTGTTTCCTTTAAATATAAAATCAGTGAGGGCCAGGGATTTAGCTCAGTGGCACCACACTTGTCTTGCAAGTACAAGGTCCTGAGTTCAATCCCCAGTACTGAAAAAAAGAAAAAGAAATATATATGTAAAATAAGTGAATTGTACTCAATGATTTAAAGTATTCTACAGCTCTAAAATCTGAAGTCCAATCAGCCATATTTCATCAAGGCACTCAGCATGGGCACTTGGGGAAAGGAAACTACAGGTTCCTGAGAAAGCTTTTCTCTCAGACCTGGCTGGCCTTAGCTTCCAAGGGAACTCAAAGAAGTATATCCTAGAAAATGGTGGTTTGGGGACAGTAATAACTGGGAGGAAACAATTCCATACTTAAATGCATTTGAGACATCTTGGATTAAACCAATATAGAGAAATCTACCTGCAGGTGATCTCAGAACCCAATGTTGTACTAAAATGCAGAGTAAATCCAAAGATGTATACAGAATGCAACATTTCCGTGTGTGTGTGTGTGTGTGTGTGTGTGTGTGTGTGTGTTTGGAGCACTTGCATATTGCTTTGGATTTTATCATGATAGTGATGAGAATCCACTAAAGCTAAAAACAACAAGAGTGGTTGATATTGCAGAACAGTCCTTCTGGGCACTGTGGATGTCAGATTGTAAGTGTAAAGTGGGAGGTCAGGAAGAGACCCAGAGCCCCGTAAGGAAGCCATGCTAATTGCCCAGGTGAGATTTTTGAGGACCAAAAAAAGGAAAATTTAAAAGACATTTGCAAAATTCAAACAACATGACTTAGTAGAACCAACATGATTTAGAGGGCCTAGGTAGGCCTCATTTTTGGCTTGGATAGTGGTGGTTCCATCAATAGGTTTACAGCCTTATTAAGAACACAGCCTTGCAAATGGGTAATTATAATACAGTATGTTATGTGAAAATGAGAAATAGGTAAAAGGCACTGTGGAGGCCAGCAGAAGCCAGAAACTATACACATGCATACAGAGAGGGGGAGGAGGGAAAGAACAAGGAGGAGGAGGAGGAGGAAGAGGAAGAGGACGAAGAGGAAGAGGAGGAGGAGAGAGGGAATGAGCAATAATCAAGATCTTTCCAACTGCAGCAATATTTAGAAATGTTCCAATTGCTCACATTTTTAAAGGTTAGATGAGTGTTTAAAATTCAGTTTTGTAGGCTGAATGTGTAGCTGAGTGGCAGCATATTCCTGACATGTGCAAATTCCTGGGATCAACACACACACACACACACGTGCAAACACATGCACACACACACATTCAGTTTTGTACATAAAAATACAGAGGTTGTTAGGGAGGGACTTGCAAAATTATAAAAATATTTAATAGGGGAAAATAAATAAGACAATTGAAATCCGAAAACCTTCTATATTTGTCCCTGAAAACTAAATGTAACACTAAGAAATACCAGAAACTGCTTTACGCAGCAGCAATGAGAACTCATCTTTGTGTGGAGGTGTCCTTCATGGTCACTGTGCTTAACATTCTAAATAACAAGTGTGGTTGTTAGGGAATAGTCTTTGAAAAGGGAGGCCCCTTGGGGTGAAATGAAAGCTCTGTAACTGTGTTCAGTTTCTTGATGACTTTGGTTCCAATATAGCTCATGTTCTTTCACAGTTTCATTCTGAAATCCATTAAAAAAAAGTTTTAAGGGCCGGGGATTTAGCTCAGTGGTTCTGCTGCCTGCCTCATAAGTGCAAGGTCCAAGTTTGATCCTCAGTACCAAAAAAATAAATAAATAAAGTTCTAAGAGAACAGCCTAGTGCTTTATTTACAAGCTACACATATAAGATTTATCTAATTTGCAAACTAAGAGAAGCAATAATTAGGCAGTTTGGGTCACATTTAATAATTTATTTGGGTGCTCGATTAAGTCTAAGTGAATAGAAATTTCTAAAATATGATTGAATTTCCAATAGCGTAATTGATATTTTTACCAGGTACTTATAAGAATTTAAGCTGTATTAATTTTATCATATCTGTCCTCCTCATTCTGTGTTCTGCCAACTTCTGTAAGTCTTACTGAATAAAAAGTATTCAGGAATATCATATGAAAGTGTAAGAGTCGGTGGTTTTGACATCTCTTGATTAGCCTTGTTAATGGTATGAAAATAGGAAAGACAAAATGCTTCATTTTAGACATACAGTTTGATGCCATCTTTATTAAGAAGTATTTTCAGGAAATGCTAATCAATTACCATCCTGTGTTGCTGGCTTTTAATTTCACCTCTTCCACTCATTAGTAAAAGTGAAATTCTTCAAAGGACATAGAATCTTGGTAGCCATGGAGGCCACCATCACCCTGATGAGTAGGTAATGGCGTCAGGATAGAGACCAATGCAAGGAAGCCTGGGGAGAAGGGTGTCTAATAAGTGGGAGGTGCTCTTCCCACAGAGAGAGGCCAGGAAAGTGGGGGGAGAGATGCAGCATATGCAGATGGTCACACAGGCTGGTGGTGCCGGGAAGCAATGCCCCAGAAGGGCTACCAAGTTATTTGTCTTAAACAACAGCCATCAGGGATGAGGCTTTTGGTGAAGATAAAGTTACCATAAGTCCTGCTGACGCCTAAACCAAGCTCTGATTCTTGGCTTATTGAGAATATTCAATACATTGGCTGGATACAGTCTTTCTACGCTGCCAAAAATCTTGTGGTTAAATTTCAGCTAAAAGGAATGCTTATGAAACAGCCAGCCTTAGAAACAAACCCCAAGCACGTGATCTCCACCTACCCTATGATCATTATCATAAAGGTGGAGCAGGACAATTGTGGGTGAATGCATGCACGCTGGGCCAAGTCCAAAGATGACACTTCTGTTCTCAGATTTGGGACCTCCAGTCAGAGGGTGATTTACACGTCAGTCGCAGTGTGGTGGTCAATGTTCCAGGCTGTCAACTCAGCACCGCCCTCAGAGCTCCAGCTACACGAGGCATTGAAAGGTTAGTCAAAGGGCACAATGTGTTACTCTTGCTGCAGGAACAGCTGCACTAATTTGGATTGTGACTTGGCTTGTCTTCCCCCCACTCTTCTTGAGGGCTGAGCTGGGCTTATGTCAATCAGTGGTGTCCCATCATTCAAGCACTGAGGGAATGTGTGGCCCTTCCAAACCCTTGAAGATGCTTTTAGGATCCATTTAGCAAGTCATCCAGAACTGTGTTATGCACTTTTGTATATTCAGTATATATACTGGTCACCATGACATCTTTCTGCAGACTTGTGTAAGGCACAGGTCACAGTTGGTGGATTTAATCCGTCCACCAGTTGGGGGATGAAGTATTGGAACCAGAGGCTTGACTTTGAGTCCTGTCTTTGCCATTTGTTTTGTGCCTCAGTTTACTTTTTTATGAAATTAGAATATTATCTATCGCCCAAAACAACGTACATGATAACTTTGCAAACTACAGATGCCGTACAAATTGAGATAGATTATTACGGATTGTTGTGATATTCAGAGGCAATCCACCTCTGAACCAAAGATCAAATCCAGTGTAATCAGCTATGCATGTAAAAGAATGTAGGTCGGGGTCAGATCTTTCAAATTCAGATGGTTTCCATAAAAGCCAGAAGTACCAGGAATCCCTAGAATCAGAAAATCTTTTATTGTAATGTTTGCTTACAGCATATTTTAGGTGTCCACTAATTATGAATATTAGTTGTAAACAATGACTATAACTGCCAAATAAAATTTTGATAGAAATATTCTCTGAGGTAATGAAGCAAATGAACACAAAGAGACAAAACTCAATCATTTCATCTTTTTCTTCCTTTTCAAATGAGTACGCATTTGCAATACATAATAAATACATTCATCATGGTAAAATGGTACACACACACACACACACATGGCATCTTCTTGACAGGCAGTGTGACCAGAACAGCTTATCATTTTGATATGGCCCCTCTGTCAAGGGCAGTCTCTTCCCCTCTTTTCTCCCTCTGTGGGGATTTCCCCCATTTTTCTAGTTTTATCACATCACTGCATGCCATACACTGCAAAACAAAAACAAACAACCAAACACACCAAACAACCAAAAAACCCCACCTCTCTTTATTCTCCTGTCTTGTTGTCCCGAGTACTAATGATCACTGTGATCTTCCGATCCTTGCTTTACTAGCTGTTGCCTCTATCTCTTCTGCTTTCATGACTCTTTTGCACTCTAGACTGTACTACATAAGAGTTTCCTGCAACTTAAAAAATCTCATTATTAATGTGTGGAAGGGATGATTCCTCCTTATTGTCTTATCCTTTCCTTCTGGACTGTTCAAAGAAACTTGGAATAGTTCACTTTTTTAGAAAAAGGATCATTGAGTTAAGAGAAGAAATTAGACCCTTTTAGCCTGTGGAAGTGTGTAAATATGAAAGTACTCTCATCTATGACTCAACGGGAAGGCTTTCCAACTTACAGAGGACACTTTTGATTCTTGGGAGGAGAGACTTACTTTGGAGGTAGAGTGAGGTTGGGACCCAAGATAATTATTCTTTGATCCAGCCCAAATTTACATACTTGACAGCAGGCATTGGTTGGGATGATCTGTGTTGAGTGAGGACAACTGACAACCTGAGCCACAGGGAGGTGATCTTAGTAGCAGCAATGGCATCCAAGTGTCATCATGACTTCACTGGGCACAGAAGTTTCCAATGTCCAAAGTTTTCCCACCTGTTATAAATTCGAGGAAACATATAGTTACTAACTCTGATACAGGTTTCAGGACCTAAGTCACCATTCTGCTAGGTCATTCTTTGGTGGACTCGGAAGGACTAAAGCTTTGGCATCTAAATGGCTTCTTATATTTCTCAGTAGCTGTGAATTTATGCATAGTAACACTCCTTTGGGGCCCTTAGCATCTCCCAAAGGGTCCTAAGCTATCAATCCATTTTCTTATATCAGGGACTGACTTTTCCATTTTTAGACGACAATAAAACTTGCTAAGAACTGTGAGGGCTTTGTTGTTTGTTTTAAATATAGATTCTAAGGATCAGAATCTCAGCCGGAAACGGTCCCATGAAAGTTGTGAGTCATCAGTAGGATTGGAGAATATAGTGATTTTCAGATATCTACAGCATAGAGAGACTACGGTTTCTTAAACCAGCTAACATTGTCCTTCCCATTCCTTTGGAATGGATCAGATGACAGCTCAGACATTCCTATTAAAGTGGAATGTTTGTCCTTATTATACCTTAAACCAATTATTATGTAGCTCTGTTTTTCATGTCCATTTTACATTATTGTTCTGGAAAACTCTTATCATAGTCATTAATAGTATAGACCAAATTTAAGAGAAGTTCATTTAAAAATCATTTGAATATGTGTGTATCTGTGATTCAAACCAGAAATAACATGTGAACTATATACTGCCCCAAGATAAAAATAGCAGCAATCTGAAGGAAACCAGTAGTAATAGACCTGGTGGAAATGAGAAAATTGAACTAAGAAATATAACAATAACAGTAATAATAATAATCACGAATATCTAACTGCATGGTTTATGGTTCACTTTTCAGAAATCTTTAGTCTTGGCAACTCAGCCAGAGGTATTATGTCCACGTGTTTAGAGGCTCTGAAAGGTGTGGTATCTCACTCAGGACACTTGGTTACCCTTTTTTGTCTGATCCCAAAGCTTGTGTTTTTTTCCGCAATGCCAACTGCACTGCCAACTTCAAACATTTCCTTTCTGTTTGGATTCCAAGACAATCAATGTTTATTGGAGAAAGAAAAAAGCTCATGGCACATTGGCTGGAAGTGGAGAGGGAAGATAAAGTGAGGGGTGTGTTGAGTTGTGAACTTGAATGAGACAGATGCAAATTTTATAGTGACCTGGACTGAGAGACAAAAAATAAAGAAATGGGTTCTTGAATTATTTTCAAGTTTTTTTAATTGAAGTGAAAGTAGGTGCAGATTTTAATCTTTTCATAATTTTGTTATATTTTCCAAGAGATGATTGTATTCTGGTAAACTTACCAAATTTAAATATTCATCAGTTTTAGCATTTCTAAGATAATGAAGGAACACTTAGTGGACTGTGTTTTATTTTATGAGGTACCCAAAATTTGGGAAATTAATCATAATTATTATTTTGTGTTTATGCATTAAAGTAGATAAATTGTGTCTACTAGAAATAAAATGTGTGCTTTTTTAGAAGTTATTTCTTTGTACATATTAAAGAGCACTAGAAAAAGAATCTACCGTGTTTTGAGTTAATGTAATTCAAAGCCCTGTAAGAATTTAAAGCCTTAAGACACTTTTTCTTTACTTCACACAAAAGCCACTTCTATATGAGTGAGTTCCCGGTTTGCTTCTCTGAGGCAGGCAGCCTTCTGTGCAAAGGGCCATTACCTGGGCTCTATCTCCGTGTAACTCACAGCCTGAGGGCCATATTGAAGCTGTCAATTCTTTGCACAGCCCCTCCCATTCCACTGCCATTGCACCACAACTGTTAATCAAAGTCACTTCAAAGACCCCAAACAGATTGATTCACATGTGACTGCTACCCAAACCATCTTCAAGAGGAGGAGGGATTCTACTCTTAGGTTCCTTTGAACCTACTGTTGCTCATTTACTAGTATTTACTTTGCATGGCCTATGGCTGAACCATGGAAATCGGAAAACAAACTCCTATTCAGCAAGTCATGTCAAAGGTGACTGCAGAGCCAGAGAGTTGACTGTGGGACAGACATTCTTTCTGATCGGGAGGCGTCTTCTGCAGGGCTGCTGTCTCCACAGTTACATACCTGTCGGTGGAAGCCTTTCGTTTATCTTGTTTATGTGGGAAGTCCTCGATGATACCATCAATCTGGGAGATGAGAGAGATGCCCATGTGACACTTCAACAATAGTGACAGGGAAAAAGAAGAAAAGAAAATGAGAGAAAGAAAATTAGCCAGACCCCGAACAAAGTTCTTTTGAACTGTACTGTGTAGAGACGATCCAATGGGCACTCTGTTCAAAAACATACTCTGTTCTGTGTCAAAAACACAATGAAGCAAATATTTCTACTTATGAACATAAAATAAGTACTGTCCAAGGGCTCTGTGAAAACAGGGACAGGAAATGACTGCATTCCTGTGTTTTGGGAGTCAAATTCTCCCAGAATAATGAAGCTACAACATCACGGCCGAACAGTTATCTATGGGGAATATATTTCTTTTGTGTCATTCTGATGGTAGAATCAACAAAAGAATATATACTATGTCATAACTAAAAGGTTTGTGAGCCATTCCTGAAACATAGTTACTGTTGTTCTTATTAGTGGACCAAACACGAAAAAATGCTAAAATCAGATCCTTCAGAGATCCGCTAAAACAGAAAGTTCATTTGATGTACAAAATCCAAGACTCCAGATCAAATTATGTGTCTTTTGTTTTCCTTGGTTAAAAGTGTTTTGCATTTGCCACTCTGTGGTGTTTTAAGTTTCAATTGTAAAGAACTCCCACAAAGCGTGTTGAAGAGCCTCTGAAACGGGTAAGACATTGTTGTCACAGCCACCATTATCACTGCTAATGACTTCCTTGGATGCCTAATTGTGGGGGCATCTCTGATGGAAGCCCCTCTTCTCCCTGTCACTAGACGCAAAATAAAGATGAAGCTCTTTTTATGGGAAGGTCCTTGACTAAGGGACTTGCTGCCAAACTCACCCAGCAACTGGTCGACCTTTAGGGGAGGGTGTGAAGCCCATCTGTCCACACAGACTTCCTCCACAGTGGTTACTTTGAGAAGACATTTTTCAGGCAAGATACAGAGGAGATGTCGATGAATGTGAATGCTTACTTAGAACTGGTCGTCTTCCAACATCACAAATATTCCAAAGGCCTCAGGAAATGGACCATTACAGTCATTTGAAATATCGAAAAGTGTTATTTACAAGTCTCACTGATTAAATGAAGTGAAAGGATAAAAATCTTAAAGACAGTTGGCAATACAAATTCAAATACACTGAGTACAGGGACGAGGCATTGTTCTTAAACAATTGTGTTTTATCACCGTTCAGGCCTCAACATGGCTGAAATAAAAACAGGTGTAGAGATAATGATAGAAATGTGGCTATTAGGAGATCCAGTGGAAAACCCAATGCCAATAACACAGCTTTGTCTCTTCTACATGGAAGGTTTCTCTATTCTGGAATCATTGCTACTGCAATTCACCATAAGGCTATTTCCACCCACAATATCTTTGGACTTGGAGTCCATAACTCTGGCTAAAACCACAAGATGTTTCCCGTCACGATCTCGTTCATCCCGGTTGTCTTAGTCACTTTCCTTGTTCCTGAGGCCCAACACCTAACACCCAAAAGGTAAGAAAGGAGAGGCTTACTTTGGCTCACAGTGTTTAGTCCGCAGTTAGCTGGCTCCATGGTAGAAGGCGTGGGGCAGAGGAAAGCTGCTCACATCATGGCGGCCAGGAAGTAGAGAGGAAGGGAGGAGCCAGGGCGGGAGGTGCCACCTTCCAGATCACACCCTGGCGACCCACCTCCCCTAAACAGGACTTACTCCCTAACCATGGTCCAATCCTCTTCCAAAAGCTCTGCTTATCAGCTTGTATCACTGGGCAGGGAGTGGACGAGATGGGAAATCCCACTGTGCCAGGCACAACGGTAAGCACTCCCCAGGTGGTGCTTCACTTTAACCTCACAAGTACCCTGGGAGGGGGATGCTGTTGTTACCTCCACCTTACACGAGTGGAGACCAAGGCTAGAATAACTGAGGCAACCGGTAGCTAATGGGGAGCTGGGACTGACAGCAGCACCTGTGTCATTCGTCTGAGCTGTGCCGCTTCCTCGGGGTAGTTTGTACCCACTGGTGCCCCAGCAGAGGAGTGGAACAGAAACCCTCACTAAATTGGGAAGACTCTGTGTCTTAGTCAAAAGACAGCTTTATCAAAGGAACAAACAGGTCAGGGCATGACTAGACAGACACAAACTAATATGACCAAATGTGGGATAACCAAAGGAATACCTGATTTGATAGTTGCCCAATAGTTATTTGTATACAAATGGAGGCTGAGATAAATTGAGATCTTTTGACCTTCAGTGAAGCACGTTAAATACTCTCTTTGAAATCTGGTTCACACTTTTGTTTCTCAAATCTACACCACCCAGAGGTCTATTATAAGGTGCTGAGAGTATGGAGGTCTCAGTCTACTACCTGCCTTTCAGTGTGTAGTTCAGTCCTGAATGTGAATCTCTCCTACTGGTGATACCCTTGTGGACAAGTGACTTAGACTGCAGCTTTGACTTTCTCTCCCTTGTACCCTACTGACATTGATAGAATGCAAGTGTCTTCCTACCAGCAACAGGTATGACAGCATGGGGAAGAACATGGTTCCATAGATCACAGGCATGTATGTCTGGTGGATTTAATTAGACACAGCACCTATTAACAGTTTCTGCAGATGTTCACAGCAAATCAACTGAGCTAATTTTCCCATAATCTTCTGCTGGCCTATTTTCTCTTTCTCAAGTATAATCTACTGTTTCCAAATCTTATGTTGCCTGCATCCAGCCAAGCTTCCTTGTGCCCCTAGAAACAAGACATTTGATCTGTTGGGTGATGCTGAAGAGATATAACTGCTAGTTGATACTTACCCTTCAATATGACATGCATAGCACTCATGGTTAAGAGCTTTGCTTGAGGGTAGGGGCGCAGTGGCTTTCCTTAGCGGGGCACTGCAGTTTCCGTCATAGGGGACACACACTGGCCTCTCGGAGACATGCTGGTTCACCCACCCAACTTGTCAGAACAAACAGTGGCTGCATTTAGCTGTCCTGCAGAAAAGCGCTTTGCCAAATGGAGAGTTTGTGGGTGGTCCCAAATGCCATTTTTAAAAGAATGCTCATTCCCCAAGGGTTTAAGTTTGCCAACATAATTAAATATATTGAATTAAAAAAATTATTTTGTAACACAGTGAAGACTTGAACTAGGAAGTGGCAATTTGAGTTCTGTCTCATTCTTACCCCTGATTAGCTGGCTTACCTTTGTAAGTCACTTTGCCTCTTCAGCCTTCTTAGTTTCTTCATTTATAAAGTAATATCATAGGAAATTATATATGTGTGTGTAGATATATATGTTAAATATATCTATATTATATTATATGTACATATATTTGAGCCCTGTACATAAAATCAAACCTAAAACCTTGTACAGACTAAACATGCATTCTGCTACTGGTATACATCTAAACCTAAGATTCTTTTTCTATGATTCCTTCTAACACAAAAGTTCTTTTTTCGTTTGTTTGTTTTGTTTTGTTAATACAGCTAGGTTATACTGGTTGCCTCTGCTTCACGAGTATAGCTTGTGGATAGATAATAACATTAGAACACTCATTGAGTTCTACACATATTCTTTGTTTTAACTCACAGTGGCAACTTTTCAACAAATATAGTTATTATTCCCCTTTTACATGAGTTTCTCCCATGGACAGATTTTAAAACAATATCTCTAAAATCACGAAGAGATTTGTGACAGACCACTATTGGTAACAAGCATACATAAAATGTCTCAAATACGATGTGTGCCCACTCTGCCTCTCTTTCTCTTCCTTTTTTGCTTCCCTGGGCCACAACTACCTGTGAAATGGGTGCATCTTACCTCTCCAAAGCAGAAGCAAAAAGCAGATGAGTTCCTCACATCTCTTCCAGATCTAAATTAAATGCCGATCCCCAAGTGATCTTTTAAAAATGACTGCACAGTGATTGGTTAATAGGAAGACTGGGAGAAACTGTGAAGGGATATTCACAGACTATCCAGAAAGAAGACTACAGCTGCGTAAGAAATGCTGTTCCTGAAGGCCACACAGCAGTAAGAAAGTCAGAACTTGCTCCGATGATTGGCAGGCAACTGGGGAGAACAAGGAAAGACGTGACAAAGATGCACCGGATAAATTAATATATGTGGATTTTGAAGCAAATTTAAGGACTGAATATGAATGCTGTCCATGTTAAATATTCTGGAAATATATATTTTAGTTTATTCCTCCATTTTGCCTGCTTGTTCATACAATAGTTTATCACTCTCATGATATTACTAGTTTTAAGATGATATGTTTTAAAAATTACTATAAGTTAAAGAAAGTTTTTGATGTCTTCATTTTAGGTCCAACCTATGCACCCATATTCTCTTAAATTATCTAAAGTCGTGCATGACAACCACATCTCACATTTGAAGCCAAGGATGGCACTGAAAATATAACACAAATCTGTCTTTATTTTGCAAGAATCAATAGGCATATTGCACTGTCTAGTAAATGAATTCCCAAAGTCCCTAGAAAATCATCAGAATCAAACAGAGTAAATATACACAATATTAAATGAGTCCACACAGGGAAGAGAGCACTGCTAGGTCAGTATTTTTTGTGTAATACAAGGGTTTTCTGCAGGGACTTCCAAAAGAAGTTTCAGCATATAAACACATAAATGTTAAGTTTCAGCATTTAAACAGTTTGTTAAAAATAACCCTGCACCTCTAAATTCCCTGCCATGTGCAAACTGGGCTTAAGAGATTTTATGAAGGAATCCTATTTTCCTTGCATACTCATTAGCCACTGGGATACTGCGATGGGTTAATAGAAAAAACGTCAATATTTGTTTTTCTATCCACTTCATTTGTAAAATAGTGTACTTTGAGTGGCCTTCTTCAAGTTTTTAGAAGTAGAAATTGAAATTAGTCTTGGTGGGGGTGCCAAAGCAGTTTTGAGACTGACAGCACGGTTCCTGTAGGCACCCAGTGCCTAAGAAAGCCAAGCCCAATCCCTAGAGGACAAGCACTTCCTTTCCTGGAAAGAGGCACTTTCTCCTTTCTGCCCTTTATAATAAGTCTCACAAGAATAGAGCTATCTGCATGCCCCTCAGCAGGCTGATTACTGCCAGTTTTAACTCATTCTTAAATGTTTAAGCATAACAGACTACTACAAATTTCCAACAATATGTACCCAGGCATAATGTTTTATTATCTATAGAGATCAATCTATACAGCGCAAGAAAATTGTAAATCTCACCACTTATGAAAAAATAGTATCCCCTATTTCCATGGACATTTACTCATTTCACACGTTCAACGGGACACGGGACATTTAGGTATATATGTCCCAAGTTTTCCCATCTCTCTAGCAGAAAGCCATTTGTCACCGCACCTTTAGCAATGTTCCTCACCCTTCAGGTTCCTCTCTCTGATGTTGCTTATAACCAGGAAAAGGTACCCAAACTAAGAGACAACCAGCTGAAATGAGTTTCTAAGCAACAATAGTGTGTAGTTCTAGGGCAAGGGATTTGCAGAAATACCTTGGAGATGAGGGGCTTCTTATTTACTTGATACTACCCTAGAACACTGAGTTTTCTTAAATCTGATCTTAGAAGAGTAGAGTGTTAATGTGATTTTTGCATATCCCTTAAAGATGATAATACAGTACATGCCAAATGGCTGGAATAGAAAAGACCCATGCTATGAATGTGCAATATGTGAGGTCCAGGTCTTCTTTAAGGGGATGTACAGAGAAGGCTTTCTGTCTTTATCTCAAATTCCTTCAGTGTGAATCTATAATTCCCTTCAGGGTTGTACCAGACAGGAAGCCTGTCTTTTCCAGGCTTCTCAGTGCTCTGACAATCACTGCCCCAAACTCCGCTCCCCAGTCATTTCTGTTTTCATGCTCCACAGTGTCCTTCTACAAAGCAAGCCCCAAACTGGGTCTGGGAACGCTTTGGCAAAGAATGCCCTTCTTCTGTGGGATATCCCAGAGGTGTCCCAGAATGAGACCACAGGCGTCCTTAGGATGCTGACCTGACCCTGGGAACTCTAGAGGTTGACACAGGGGTCGAGAACCAATGTCCTTTGGATGCCTGCAGTGCTGTTATATGACCCCATCCCACTGGGCAGCTGTCAGCATCCCAGCAGACAAACGTTTTGGCTAGAAACTGTGCCTTATTGTGAGAGGTTGAACTGGTGTGAAAGAAGCATTTTTATAAAAAGATCCACTAGAGGGTTGTTTGTGAAATTATGAACCGACTTGATTTGTATTCCAGGTACTAGTTATCACATTTATTTTCTTACCTTTCTAAAGATCAAGATAAAAAATAATGATTCATCTTCTATTTCTGTCAAAGTCAAGTGACATCACAGATGATCCATCTCCCACCTGTTCTTTCCTCAGATGAAACACGGGAGGTATCATCGAGGTCGTTTTGGCACAGCACTCTTCTCCAGGCTACAAGAGAAGAATTACTTCCTCTCTGCATTTGTGCCAGGTGTTATGCCTTACTCCCATGTATGCCGAAGAGCGGCACATCTCAAAGGGAAGAAAAGCAGCCCTGTAAGTTCCTTTTGTGGCTTGCCTTTCTACCCTACCAGGCTCTTTTATCGATCTCCTTTTTATTCTTGACTTATAAAAAGCTGTGTATAGGCGTGCATACGTGCGTGCCTATGTGCATGTGTGTATGTGTGAGTGTGTGTGTGTGTGTGTGAGTGTGTGTTCAGCCTTCCCTGGCAATTCAGCAGAGAAAGGGCACGTGTCCAAAAGGACAGAGAGATGTACCCCCACACCTGCTTGCCTCCTGGTTAGGTTCCTAGGTTGGCAAACCAGGTGTCCCTCACCCGTAGGCTTCCACCCCACAGAGAAAGCATAAGAATTTAGAGATGGATCTCTTCTCCTTTTGAAACCCCAAGAAAGCTCTGGGAAGTGAGACTCTTTCCTGTGAGCTGTAGAGAAATCCAACCTGCTATCTGGAGAAGTGGTGTGTGCGTGTGTGTAGGGGTGTTCGGGAAAGATCAGTTATGAAAACCAAAAGCACTCCCTTTATGCCCTGAGCTGCCTCAATTTTATCTACGACCATCAAGCCCAGGTGTCCCTAGGGGGGAGACCAGCCAGCCTTGCGGTTTCTGTCACTTCTACAGCCATGGTACCCCACAGCCTTCTGGGTCCCGTGACCTGAAACCCTGCTGCTCCCCTTAGCTAACCTCAGCCGCGTGGTCGGTGTCTCAAGGCTCCTGTCCTTGACCCAGAAGCAAGGGCTCTGTCAGAGGTTTGGGAAATCTTGACAGTTCACCTGGTAGTAAAAATAAGCATCAGAAACAATAAAGTAGGAATTTGGTCCCCTTCATTTAAGCTAGGATTCAATAAATATGCACACACACAAATAGTATTACCAGAAATAAGGAAAGTAATAAAAAATAAAATAAGTTGACCTGTAGTTTCCTGATTTTTGTAGCTGTGGATTTACCTTTTCAGTTTTTCAATTTCCTCCATCACATATATTTTATACAAATTATTACTGAGCCAGACCAAGAAGTGTACATATTGTGCTGTCTAATTTCTCAACAAAGAGTACAGTTTGAGGCCAACTTAGATTAATTTGCAGAAAGATATTTGAAAAATAGGTACCTACTTCCATACATTACTATTCATTTCTCAGAGCTAATACTTTACGTGTGAAAAGATGGGTATGAATACATTTAACAGTCATCTCAATTTAACAAAATTAACAGCTGGCTGAAAGTGTCTTTTAAAATAACCTTTAAAAAATCCAGTTGTTCCACCATTACTTCCTGCAGTTGCCCTCTTTGGTTAAGATTGAATTGTCTATGTTTCTTTCGAGGTGAACAACTCTTGGCACATGAAGTCATGTTACTAAAAATAGTATCTCAACAATATCAATGAAAGAGCTTCTGTGTACATTTTTTTCTTCACCTCCCCAACTACCACAATTTTCTCACTAAATTTTTCTGAGTAATTATCTGTGAGAAATCTGGGTGACAAAGGAGACATGTCTGTCCTTAAGGAGACATAGACATAAATTATTATAGTAGAGCATTAAAGATTTTTGTGTTCATACTATAACTCAGAGATCAGAGTATAAAATGTGGCATCTTGAATGTAAACAAATACATTAATTTTAGAAATATTAACTTTGTTATCTGAAAAGACAGTCTTGCAGAAAGCAAATATACAGTTCAAAAGGACATTTTGTTGGTACATAAAAGATTCCAAGACTGCACAAATTGTGGCATAAAT